TATCCCTCGTTCACTCGCTTATTATTAATAGTTCAGTTCAATGACCTTCCCCTTTTGTGTTTGATGCATCAGATACTTTTGAAGTTCAAGAGAGTTTTGTATTCTTATTTATAGGGAACTCTACAGAAATTTGTCGACCGTTTATTTCACACTGTGTTTATGCGTTATCGGCCCGGATCAAGTTTGCCTCTGGTGGTCAAGTTTCTATTTGACCTTCTTGATACACAAGCCAAAGAACTAAATCTATCAGATGGGGAAGTCTTACATACCTGGAAAAACAACAGGTAACCAGAATATCCACTCAGATCAAACACCTACCTCGTCCTAATTGTCGTCCTCCTTTCTCTTACCTCGCCTTTGCGTTCTCCCCCTCCCTCTCCCCTCCCCTTTTTTCACCTGCCATGCAGGCTATTTGGGAATGATACACTGTACTTGGGCAAAAAAGGGAAGTCCAGTCATCTTTACCACATAGCTCTTTTAGTGGAATGCATACAAAGTTAGATCATTGGCACCGGAAGCTGTTTGCCCAGTTAATTCATCCGAGTGTTATTATTATGACTATTTTTTTATTTTCAGTTTGCCACTGAGGTTCTGGATAAATATAATAAAGAATCCAAACTTCATATTTGATGTATCAAAGTCAGGCATTGTAGATTCTTGCTTGTCTGTTGTGGCACAGGTTAGTATCTCTTACTCGGTTTCCACATTCTTGTCATGGAACTAAAACATTTATTCCATGAAAAAATCCGTCAAGACTCCATTTTTTTTTACTTTCTCAGTACTACAAACCCTGCATTTCACACTTTCTTGTTTTAGTTCTAAACCCACTTGGCTAAATATCTCCTCTAGATTTCTTATTCGTTTATACTGAATATATTCCTGTGAAACAACCCTTGTCCAGTAATGTTTTTCCCACGGAGAAAGATGAAATTTAATCGTGTTTTCTCTTCCTTAAAGCTTTTCATGGATTCCTGTTCTGTGTCTGAGCATGTTCTTGGCAAGGTAAGAGAAATGTGCCAATTAACTGTGTTCAGATTTGCCAAACATTTCAACATATTTTCTTAATCCAAATTTCCTTTGTGTATATAGGATTCTCCATCAAATAAGCTGCTTTATGCGCGAGAAATTCCTGGATATCGTCAAGAAGTTGAAAGGTGAGTTTGCGTATATATTATTTTCACTCATCTGATTTTGCAAGAACTTCGTTGAGTCTTGTCACATGGCTTTAGCTTTGTTGTTTTTTACTTTTTTCTGGTCAAAAAGTGGTGCGATATTTTTGGTCTAATCACAAAGGGCGCCATTTTCTTTTGTTATTTCTAGGTTTTATTCTGACATACAAGCAGCTCGCGCACTCACTCCACAGGAATTATCCAACTTCCTGAATGACCTCTCAACGGTTAGTGTTTTCAACAGCCCGCTTTACATGTCACGTGTTTTACTTGGGTTGGACGAACTTTCTTATCACTGGAGGCATGTGTAAAGCCACCCCTCCTCTCTCCCCGCTTTTATTTTTTGAACGGATGGGGAGGATGTACAGAGGCTATCCAATCTATGGACGAATGCGCTATGTGAAAAAAGTTCAAATGAAGTTAAATTTAACCACAAGGAGTGCGGGTCTGGTCAGCAGTCTGTCGTTTGGCTCAAGCGCGATCAGCCTTGCTTGCATCACCTCCATGTGCTCAGTACAGTGTTTTCTTGGCGGCCATTCTCTTCTTTTAGCCTTTGGATCATTCTTTTACCCCCCATCCCTTCCCCCCCTTTATTTTTCCACTGTTAAATCAGTGTGACAGGTGCATGGTGCCATTGGCCTGGGGGCTCTTGGCTGGAGGGCTCGTGGCTGGTTTGCCAGCCATGGGGGCATAACTCTGTCTAGGGGCTGGCTGTGCCAAAGGTAGAAGCCCCTGGACATCCTGGGCACCCACCTTCACTAAGCGATGCAGTTGTTAATTCGTTATTTGCGGTCTTTTCATAACCAAATTATATTCAGGAGTTTTTCTACTTAGCTGGAGGTTTTATCTGGCGATCACGCAAATGCGCGAAGCTGCGAGAATTAAGATCGTTGTTTCCGCCCTGTTTTCCTCTCGATTTTGCCGCTTGCTGGCGCTCCCCTCTTTTGCCCCTCTCCAAAACTGCCAGGTGTACAGGATATTCATGGGTATGTGGCCCCAGCAGACCTGTGGGCTAAATACACCTTTTTTTTGTCGTTTTAGGCCCATGGACAGGAGTTCAATTCTGACCAAGCCCTCTCAGAGCTTTATGATTACGTCAGAAAGTATCAAGATCAGGTAGGCACCATATTATTATGTGCGTGACGGACCAAGATGTATGCGTTGTTCAAATACCCTGGAAGTTACTCATCCCCCGTCTCGCTCCTACACCTTATACCGCTCTGTGGATAAAAGTCACGGAAGACAAGCAGGACAGTGCGACACTTGGGGTATGGGAGGAGATGTAAGGAAAGAGGAAAGAGTCCTCTCTTTTCCTTCTTAATACCCTGACCTCTCTCGCACTTCTCTCGATAGATGTTAGTGGGTGCATGCCAATCCCTTTGACACATGTCTTCCAGGCAGTATATTGTCTTAAATTCTTTTTTTTTCGTTTTTAGCTTCAAGATGCCCTGGAAGAGTCTGGGCTGTCATCATTAGCCTCTAAGCTTGAGCACGTGATTGCTACCATCTCAGATGACTGATTGATGGAACTTGACCTACTCGCATGGTTGATGAATGCAGTTCTTGATCTTACATTTAAATTGCTGCCCAGTTTATTTGTGCTTATTGAGATTATAACCATTTAATTATCATCCTGGCCGCTATCCTAATCTTTGTTGCACCTGGTCGGTGCTAAGTTTTAACTCACAGGAGAGTTGTAAAAGTGCTACCTGTTTGAATGAGGGAACATAATTTCCGGGGGACTTTGCCATGGAAGCAGCTGTCAGACAGTCAGCTAAGCCAGCAGTTGTACGCCATTGTAGTGCCCGGTACAAACATTTTTATCTCAAAGACAGGAAAACGATTATGCTAAGCGTCTGAATCTCGACTGTGTTGGTTTTTTCTCCTAATATAGACTCTACCATTTATTTAATTCAGTCATACTTATTTTAGGCACAGACTTTTGCAATCAACGTACCTATATCAAGAGCATAGCCTTGTAACTCAAGGGAACGTGTAGCTGGTCAAGTATAACTCTTTGGTTTAATTACCTGTGTGTAGTGTTTAGTTCTTTTTTATACCTTTCCAGAAAGAAGCTTGTTGAGTTGTCTAAAAGTTTATGCATTTCTTTTTTAAAAGACCATGCTTTCCCTAAAAGTGGCAAGAGCCGATGGTGCTCCTAATACATATTTTTGGTAGTGCTTATCAGAGATTGCTTTTAAACTTCTTGATTTTCTTTAAAAGGGAAAGACTGTTGTTCCTCTCCGATTCCAGCCCCCATGAAGAAGTGATTTATATTGTTGGTATTATATTGTTCTGTTTCCTCGCAACTGCTAAGCTTTTTTTGGTTTGTGCTCAGAAAACAGGCCATTTCCGGGTTTCAAAAGCTCTCACTTTTAAAACGAGACTAAGTGCAAAACCTTTCTTGTGAAAATGACTTTTATTTGCATAAGAATAAAAAATCGTTTTCATATCAAAAGTTTCGCACTTAGCCTCACTTTGAAACTGAGGCTTAGGGTACTCCATGACTTAGCTTATTTAAGGTAAACTCTTCTGAATCCGGAGGGTCAAGGCAGTATTGAAGTCTCCTATGCTTGTTTTTTTATACATAAAAATGTAAGTTGACTAAATGTAAAATTATAGAAGTAATATCCAATGCTTGTAAATAAAGTTATTTCATAAAAGCTGGGGTTTTTGTGTAAATATTTCCCCTTCCCTTCCTCTATCTTTCTTACTCTTTTTGCTCTTGCCCTAATTCACGTGCATGCTCACAAAGGAAATAAAACAGGTGACCACTGGGGAGGGAAGCATATGATATGGAAGTGAGGTTCAGGACGAAAAGCCATGCGACGCCCAGGTCAATCTCTAATGTGCATACCCAACACACCCGAGCAGTTCGTGAGTTTTTTCCGCGTTTTAAAACGATTGTATGCGCCTCCCATTTTAAACTTATTAAACCAGCGTGCAAAGAAAGTGGTGGCCGATAGCCAGGGGCTACTGCATTTTGCTATCAGGCTAGTGAATTCTGATTATTTTGGGGGAATTCAAGTTACAGAAGAACTATAACCAATCCTGCAGATCGATTTTTTTTCAGGCTAGTTGAATTAACTTGTGGGCTAGTACATGCTAGGTGCAGCTTGCCCGAATGGCAAGCTGTAATACTGACTTTCTTCACACCCTGTAAACATTCCCCTGCCTGCCAGGTCTGAAGTACAGGTCATAGTAGAAGTCACTGCTGTGTGGATAAATTACTAAGCAAAACAGGTTCCCCTCGATCTAAAACAACATTTTTGTAGAGATTAGGACTAGGAGACACTTGGTGCTGTACTCTTACCCGTGTAAAAATACCTGTATTTTGGACCCACTGCTGTGTAACTGGCCTAATTTTCAACATATGGACAACCCATAACTTTGCACACATGACAGAGATAACTAGTAAACGTACTAAGTCAGTGCACACTTAATTCTTCATTGCCTCACTTGCATTTAAAATTATTTTGTTTGACCATCAAATATACTGCTGTCAGTCAGTATTAATAACATACATATATAATCAACATCTCAGGCATTGATGATTACTGTTGAATGAATTATTAACGTGTGCAGCGACCAATCATAGTACCCATTGATGAGTGTAAGAGAACTTTGCACACAAACATGAATTGCCTGGCAAGGTGACTACCTTGCTGAAAGTATGTTGAGGTTTCACGGGCAATATGTTGCACTCACCAACAGAGAATCTTGTCGAGTTCTTGTTACATTTCATACATTATATCATCTACTAACTAAATTTATTTTACATTCCTCAGTCGTCAACAAGGCTTTGGTTTAAAGGTGGCTTAATTTATCTAGTCATGCGTCCGACAGAGCAGCCACTCCTGGGAGAGTCTTACCTGCAAATAAAACAAAACACATTATTCTTCAGCTTTGATCCCAAGGAATGGAATGAAGTATTACTATAATATGTAAACAATAAAATTATTATTTACATATAAATTATAAATAATTATTATTTACATATAGTTTATCATATTATTTCCAGCATACACTAGGTGCTGCAGACACTTTAAGATGGACAAACCATCATTAAATGATGGTTTATAAACTTTATAAACTAAATTATACAGGCAAGCAGCAGTTACATTCACAGCATGGAAAACAAGGTTACTAGCAGGAGTAGCAATATTGTTTTATGATCTTATGTGTTTTATTTTGTGGAATTCACATGGCCACAGAAGATTACCATGTGTGCTAAGCCTCACAATCCTCATTTCAAACAGACAATGGAGATCCTGTGGTATGACAAATGCATAAATGCTACGCATACATACTGAGTCTGACATTTTTCCAGCCTGTAACAGTCGCTGTTTAGCCAGGGCTTGCGATGACCAGCTGCACTCAGATTACTCAAGCTCAGGCCAGCAAGAAAGAGTAGAGCCCACACCAAGGGCTGCTATGAAAATTGTTTTATTTACTTTGTGTGAATGTAAGTTTTGCATTGACTTGCATTCTTTTTCAACTCTGGACTGACATAAAAAAATGCAAAATTTAGTTTCTTAATATTCCTCTAGATCAAGAAAATCTTATTTACCTTCCAAGAGCTCAAGGGAAGCACCTCCCCCAGTACTGACATGACTGACCAGTTCTTCTGTACCATACTTAGCACAGCATGTTGCAGTATCACCTCCACCTAACAAGAATGTTCAGTAACCACTGAATTAATGTACAGTGGTTGTGGTATAAGTAAAAGAAATAGGAGAAAGAAACAGACACATCCTAATAACACAACCCACTATCTTATTTTCAGTTTTCAAAAACAGTGTTTTGATCTATTCAATTGCTCATTCACTCAGTACACTTATCCAAGAAAACACTGCCCAGCGTAGCCACCACACACAAGAACACCCATGCCAATTTTCAGGGTTTGGTTTATTCTTGCTGTAACTTGGGGTAAGAGGGTGAATAATAGGAAGTAAATGACATTTTTATCATAATATTTGCAAAACTGTTGAAACATGTGTCTTGAATATAACAACAGCTTTATGGGCCACTGTTAAACCATTAGGAATTGCAAGAGACAGGCCTCTGAATGTTAACGTACCTATAATAGACGAGGCACCAGCTTTTGTTGCTGCCACAACTGCATCCATAATACCTTTGGTTCCTACTTCAAATTTAGCCATTTCAAACACACCCATTGGACTGCAATATACATACACACACAAATTTTAGTACATGACCTCTGTAAAAGTTGAAGTTTTTTCCTCTCTTAGTTATCTAGATTGAATAGAAAAAAACTCAGCCTTACCCATTCCAAACAATAGTTTTAGCTTGCATCACCACTTCCTTGAATTTCTTGACACTTTCAGGCCCAATATCCAGTCCCTATAGAGAATTATTCACAGAAATAGTGATCATTACATGTACTTAGACTTATTCAGGAAAAAAAAAGGCATATTGGACTATTTTCACTCACTAACTCACTCGAAACTCAGTCAGTAATACTTGCATAGAATAGCAAACAGCAAAGTTATGACCAAATAAAAGTACAAATAGACTATCACAAAAAGCGTTCTCAAAGCTAAAATGTTACCCACTACAAACATACAAGAAACAGATTACATAAACTGTAAATGTACAAGTAGATACCAGATGAAAACAACAAACTACACAAATGTTTCTAATTACCATCCAGTCCGCAGGAATTCCAGTTTCAAGATTAGCTGGCTTAGTCTGTAAAATAATCAACAAACATTAAGCACTATTGTCTGATTAGAGAAACACAAATCAAGAAAAAATGGTTTCCTGCAGCGTCCTCGGCTATTTCAAGCATAAACACTATGCTATAAAAACCAAACTAAACTTTCACCTCAGCATCCTCAGCAAATTTACTAGCAGCGACAAAATCTGTTGGTAGATGGAGATTCACTCCCTTTTCTTTGGCTTTATCACAAATCTTCTGGATTATTTTTGATCCTTCTTCATCAAACAGTGACTTTCCAATCTGAAAAAGAAATTATTGCAGCTAGCTTGTTTGTACTGGTAAATCAACTACAGACACTATAAATGGGTGGAAACCACAAGCACAAATAACAACAATGAAAGAAGTTGTTTGAAATGATTATAACTGAAAGTCAGTGCTTCATTGGAATCCATCATTGCAGAGGTTAGCGCACAGCCTTCTGCGTAAGAGGTTCCACGTTTGATTCTTTTCTTTCTGTGTTGCCCTACGTAGCTTTAAATTCCCATGAAACCGAACACTGAAAAGAGAAGGGGAGGAGGATTACTGCACCATTGGCCTGAATTTTGTCAGTCATATGATCACTGTTACAAATTACCAAATGGGACCTTTGCGTTTAGTGTAAACTTAGCATCAGGCTAAAACTAGGCTTTTTACAATGCTTTTTGGACGATCTTAAATTTTACCTTAAATTTCATTAGCAAGGAGAAGATTATCAAATAAGAACTTTACTAATCTAAGCATGGGCGATTAAGAGCCATGATATTCTTCTCTACGATTGCATCTTTGCAGACCTTTCTAAAGTTAAAACTCAAAACTGCAACTCACCTCCATGTTATGAAGAACTTTGACAAATGTGTAAGCCATTCCACCACCAATGATCATGTCATTCACTTTATCCAGTAAATTCTCAATAAGTAAAATTTTATCAGCTACTTTGGCACTAGAGTAAAAAGCAAAAGGTGAAAGTGGAGCTTTATAAAATACTATTTTTAATGAAGGTTTAATATTATGATATTCATACATTTTTTGTGGGACAGAGTAAGGCCGTGCTGTAGAGTCCATTATTTTGGCCAAAAATTGTAAATATGAAATATGAAGTAAAAAAAATGGGCTCAAAAATAAGTGATAACCATAATGAATAAAGTTGTAGCAAAGTGAATTTTGTTGATACTGGCAAGGAATTTGAGTTGAGGAGGTAATTATATTCAATGCCATTTTACACTCACCCTCCTAAGATGGCCAGATACGGTCTGTCAGGTTTCTCCATTGCCTTGGAGAAGTAGACCAGCTCTTTCTCCATCAAAAATCCAGCAACCCTCTGAGGCAGCTGAACACCCACCATAGAGCTACAAAAACATTAATACAAAAAAAGTCAAAGGAATATAAAAGCTTGCATCTCTGTGTAAAGCAAAGTCAAATTTTGCAAAAAAATATCAATTTCACTTTTGTTTGTTCAAGTGGTTACATATACAACACACAGCAGAATCAATCACAAACATGCTGGAATAACAGAGTGGTAGATGAAATAATAACATTGTTTCTCTACCTGTGAGCTCGATGAGCAGTGCCAAAAGCATCATTAACATAAATGTCTCCTAACTTTGCTAATGAATCGCGGAATTTTTGCACATCCTCTTTGCTTGCCTTAACCTGTCACACAACAAGAAACTGTTGCTAGCTCATGTTATTACTGGTAAATAATCTGTCAAACTACACCATGCCAAATGGCACTTTCCTTCAGTTCCAAGGCATCTAATCCCAATGGCTATTTTATCAATTTTATGATAAAAACTTGAAAGTTCTGATATTGGTAGCTGTGGATGAATACACCCGCAACATGGTTTCTGTTAAAGTAAGCACCTGGGAGTGCATTACTTAAATCTAGATGGAATACTACCATGTATTTTAATCCAATTTCCCCCCTAAGTAAATTGTCATGAACCTTCAGTTGATAGTATTAACTGGCCTACAAGAGGCAAAAGCACAGTGCCCACACTGACTGTATCAAGAAGAAAGTGTGAAAAATCCTGAACAAAGTAATCAACCAAGAAAATGTTATAAATATAACCAAAGTTATTGCTATAAACTATGTAGCACCTTGTTTCCTTCACTATCGACTCCTTTGCCTTCCTCTTCAATGTGGAAACGTAGGTTTTCCAGCAAGATCACTGAGCCTTGATAAAATTAATATAAATAATGCAAAGTGTAAATGGCAAATTATGTTAGCATGCATATTGAAGGAGTGGCTGGATGTCTTCCCAAAGGGCTTCTCATAAACCACTAAATTCTCCTTCTAATTTTCATGTACACCTTTGTAAATCAAAGAAAGAATTTCGCATTACAAAAGCCTGGAGTCACTTACTCAATGCAACCCTTCAATTGCCATCAGAGTTAAGGCTCCACCCTTACTGAGAGAGTGGCACTTGCCTGGATAATGACAGAAGGTATAAAGCAACACCCACATAAACTGTCAACCAGAAGCTGTAGTAACTTTGGATTCTAATAGCAGGGCTGTACTTCTTTCAGCTATCAGCATTAGATAAAGCAATATACCAACTGGAAATAACTGACCCACAGGAAAACCAAGTAGAATATTCTTTTTTCAACCTGACTATTATGGCAAAGGGTTTCTGAAAATTGCCCCCACCCTCTTCTAAGTTAAAAGTATCATACCAGCCTTTGGGTTTTTACATGCTTCTTCCACTTCAGGACCCACACAGTCAGGAAGAAAGGTCACATCCCTGAAAATGTAGAAAATTAATGTTACATAATTCATGAGCAGAAAAAGTAAAAATTAAAGGGACCCTACATATACAAATAATTGGGTCAAAATGTTTGGTTTTTACCTTTGCAATAATTTCTTCACCTCATCAGCAACAGGGGCCAGGGAATATTTCTCAACTACTTTGCCGTCAGGTCTTCCTAAATGGCTCATCAACACCACACTTTGAGCACCATTATCCAAACAATGACGGACACTCGGCAAGGCAGCTACAATCCTTAGAAAAATAGAAAATAGGCAGAATGATTGTTGTAATCTTTTTTCATTCATTTATCCTCTGTTTTACACTTGCCAATATTACAAATGTCGAACCAGCCTTATAAATATCTGACCTCTACAAGGGGTCTACAAACAAAAACCTAATTGGAACACTTGTTGGAAATTATTTTCCAATAACAAATTACTTCTATCCTATAGAAATAAATTGCAAGAAGAGAAAAGATGCACTCCATTAATTTGGGCATTTGTGCGTTGTTTTATAGTCCACTATATACCATTTGCATTCGCTATACCAGAAAGGTTTAATATTGAGAACTGAGATTTCAGCAATTTTTAAAAACATATAAACAAACAAAAAACACAATTGTTACAAACGAAAATAATTTCCCTACACCTGGAGAAATAACTACTTAATACTGAAATAAAAACGCGGATTATTTGCGCACTCACATTATCAAGAACCAATATTGGCCCACTATTTGAGGTGGCATGGGGGACAGGACAGTGCCATTGGGGACGGGTAGGTGGGTGGGGTACTGTTTACACAAGTACGCGACTAAACGCACGTCTGCAATATTTTAAAAGATACCTTTGGTTGTTTGTGATCTCTTTCCCCTTCAGTGGTACATTGAAGTCAACACTGAAACAAGACATGGCATTTTCTTAATAACTGTAAGATTACCCACGTAAACTTATAAACACGCTAAAACATGACCGATATATCTAAGGTGAATTCAAAAATGCTATTTGGACTAAACTGACATCAAACAAAAGTAAGGCTTACCGCATCAAAACGCGCTTTCCTTTGCAGTCAACAGTTTTGATTGATGATTTGTTAAAGGACATAATAGCGATTTTCTACTGCAAACAGACGAAACAGACGACAGCCCAGGGCCACTCCAGAGGACAGAGGACACAAATCGAGTAATATCTTGAGACTTCAGACTGGTAAATCAGCGGACGGTGCGAAATGTAGGTAAGTCATTGATGTAATATAACACGAAATAATCGAGAATCCAAAATGGCGGCTGCCTTGGGTTTAACGCGACAGTTTAATCGAATTTCTTCTTGTGCTTTACCTCATCGCTTGTCACAAATCAGGTACTTGCATAGTGAGCGCTTACTGCATAAATTTGGTACTCCTCGATTACCTCTGAAGGCGCGTACAATTCAACAAAATTTTCAAAAAGGTAAGCGTGCACGTGGAAAAATCAAGCTCATCATGTTATTCTGATGGTAACCTGTCATCTCAGAAAAATGTATTTTTCACCACAATTCATAAATTTTATAGGAGAATACGGGGATTTATCTGATTTGTTAGCAATATCTTTGTAGTGGTGTTTTTTTATTGTGATTAATTTTTGCTCTAAATGCACGATCATCATAGCATGCATTAACATGAACAATTAGCAGATAGAGAAAATAGACCATTAAACTAGGTAAAATTAGTTATAGCTAAATTTTATTTGGACGTACAACATAGTTATTGGTGATTAAGTATGCCTTCTTCCACTCATGGTGGCCTGGGTTCGAATCTTTGAGATGATGCCACATATGGGTTGAGTTTGTTGGTGGTTCTCTTCCTTGCTCAGAGTTTTCTCTCTACTCTAAAACCAACATTTTGAATTTTCAAATTCCTATTTGATCCAGAAAGGTACACACAGGTCGGAACCCTCTTAATCAATATGCTTCCACTAAACTGTTATTTGTTTATTTTTATTATATAAACACCAATGAAATACCAGGTGAGCTTTTGCACGAAAACTTGATATCTTCACATGTGAAAATAACATGTTATCCTCACATGTGAAAATATCACCGTTGCTATGGCTACATAATAAATCGCACCTTTTAGACCAAAAAACTATTAAAGTGAAATGGTTTGGTAGTTCATTGGTGCTTATATAATAAAATTAATAGAACATTACATGGCCGCTTGGAGATACGAAATTTCTTTTCGAGTGTTGAAAAATATTTCACAAGTGATCACAGCGAACGAGTGAAATACTTTTCAACACTCGAAGAGAAATTTTGTATCTCCACACGGCCATGTAATATCCTCTATATTTATTTTTATTTTCTATTTATTCATAAGATGCATATTCACCTGTATATTTATTCATTAGATATTTTGCTTACTTATATTTTTACAGCTCATCAAGATTTCAAAGCAAGGAGCTATCCAAGAATTTTTTGTAGAGCCTTATCAGATAATTCAACTGATAAGGATCATTTATCCAAGGTAGTAATATATGGGAGGTTGTCTCTCTCTAAAAGAATAACGTTAAACTGTCCAAATATTTACTGTTAGGTTGACTACTTACTTTATTTTCTTGTGATACCGATATCATCTGGTATGCAATAAAAGACATATTTTAGGCTTTTACTTCCCTTGGAAATACAGGATATCTCTGCATGTTGTTGTAGGCAAAAGATGTATCAACTATTAATGCGTTAACCCTTTTAACTCACAGGCAAATACTTAAAAATAACATTGAATGAATTATTAAAAGATCAAAACAATTTTCTTGACAATCATTTTAGCATTTCTCATTTCATTTAATCTTATTTGCACATTGCTCTTGTTAGAAGAAAGTAATTTATTGATCTTCATACCTGCCAACTCTCCCGGTTTTCCTAGGAGTATCCAAGTTCTTCATCAAATCTCCCAGTCTCCCAGTTAGAGCCCAAAATCTCCCAGGAAATACCTACTGCAGCCTTTTTTCAAAATTTGTTCATTAATTTCACTATTTTTGAAAAGGAAAATAAATCAAGAAGTGGTGAGTTGGGCTCCCTCTATAAATATTATTATTATTATTATTATTAGTGCTCTTATTTGAGCTGTTCTTGATCAGAAAATGTAAAACAGAGCAATCAAATAAATTTTTATTGATATATATTTAACAAGTATTGTAATTGGTCAGAAATCAACCAATCAAATTGCACAATACATGGTAGAAAGTTGGTGTGGTTTTCGCCCTCTGTTATTGATGTTGGGAACATTCAGAAGGCCTCTGGGTGATTTTTGGAGAGTATTCAGACATCGTTGAAAATGACATTCTTACAATGCAAAGATTTCTAGACGTCTCCAGATTTTTGTACTCTGGGGGAGTTGGCAGGTATGGATGTTGGTCACTCCTGTAACTTAAAGATTTTTATATTTCTGTGATTCTCTTTATGTGAGAAAAGGTGTTGCTAGAGTGGGACTACTTTTCTCTTGTTTGCATCCATGGTCTTAAACTTTCCTGTTGGATCTATTTACAATCTTAGGATGAGGCTTTTGAAGAAGACGACACTGTGCATGTTATCACAGACAAGGAAAAAGTTGTGGGTATGTTTAGTTTTTGAAAAACACATTGGTTTTCAGTTGTATATTATTTTGTTTGTTGGTTACCTTTGGAAATCTAATAGTTTTTTTTTAATAAGAAGTAAGGATAACCTTCAGTTACATATTTAAAATATAGCAGTACTTTTGCATTCCTTACTTCGAATGATATTATAGAGTAGTGAGCAATAAGTAGTCTGAATGGGTGTTTGAGTTAGGGTAGTTATTTCTGTTTATCTGTCAAAATGTATTATCTTGTTGTTAGAATGCATCTTACATGAGAAGTTTTTGGTGATGTTTTTTTATGCCTTGCTATTCTTTTATGAATAGTCTTCAAAGAAGAAAAAAACCTTTGTTTCTTTTTTCTTCATGTTACCATCAGGTGAATCTCAAAAACATGAATTTCAGGCAGAAACAAGACAGCTGTTGGATATTGTAGCCAGAACGCTTTACTCAGAAAAAGAGGTACTGGTACTTACTATGATGAATAAGGCTACACATCAATATATATAAATTATTTCAAAAACTACGTAGTAATAAATGTTTGGGAAAAGATAAGAATGCATGTAACCTTTAACTACTACTAGTATGTCCTTTAAATTGAGATCATTCTCACATGTAAGTTTTGCACTCACAGTTAACAGACAGATGTGCTGATAATTTTCTGGAAGAATACATTGGATTTTTTCAGAATCTGAGCTTTATTCAGGGTTTTCCTTCACTCTCTTCAGTTGTCAGTTGTTCAGGTAAACAACTTGGCACATGCTCTTCTAAGAAGGAATCCTTCTGGATTACAGCTGGTTTATACTAAAGAAGCTTACAGAAAGCAGAAAAAGCTCTGCGTTGTTGTTGGACATGCTAAGCACCTACATGTGTCACCAAAACAAGACTAAAAATAATCTCCATAATTCTTATCTCAGGTTTTCATTCGTGAGGTGATATCTAATGCATCAGATGCCCTAGAAAAACTACAGTACCAGTTCATGACTGGAAAAGATGTTGCAGAAAATGAGCTTCCTCTTGAAATTAACATTGCCACAGATCAGGAGAAAGGAACTCTGACAATTAAGGATCATGGAATAGGAATGACTGAACAAGAGTTAGTTGATAACTTAGGTACTATCGCCAGGTCTGGCTCAAAAGCTTTCCTTGACGAACTTAGTAAACTAGGGAAAGGCGATTCACGAGAAAAGAGCATCATTGGACAGTTTGGTGTAGGATTCTATTCCACGTTCATGGTTGCTGATAGAGTTGATGTGTACACGCGTTCTTATATTCCTGGCAGCAGAGGTCTTCTGTGGACTTCAGATGGGTAAGAGTTCTTATTTTCAGTGTACTAGTAATGACAAGTTTTTAACCTGCAAGTAAGCTTTCGTGGCAAACTCTTGGCTCAGTTGGGAACAGCTGTAGGGCCAAGTGAAAAATAAAGAAAACAAAAGAGGGCTTTCTTGCTGAGTATTATTGGTGGCCTGACATGGAAGGGGGAAAGGTTGGTTTGGAAGAAAAGGACTGGTTTTTCAGAAAAAAAGGATAAAAATTAATGTAAGTAGAAATTGCATTGAGTTGATTGCTGTTATTCTTATACATTCTACATCTATGTTTTGTGTCTTAGCCCCAATTCATGAATAATTAGGGCTAGGAGACAAAGGAAATAGATAATCAATCTAGGTTTAAAAATTTTCACCGGAATTTAAATTTGACCTGTAGCATCTAAATCTACAGCTATAGAATCTACATCTACTTATACAGTTTTACTTGGCAAAGGTTATCCATGGCAGTAAGATATTCATCTAATTCTTAAAAATATTTTTGTCTTAAGCTCTGGTTCATATGAGATTGCTGAGGCAGAAAATGTTTCTCGTGGAACAAAGATTGTTATACACCTGAAAGAAGACCACAGAAATTTTTCTCTTAACACAGCAGTTGAAGGTCAGTTATATACTACAATGCCTTCTGATGTTTTAAATGTAATTTATAGTAATTAACGTGTGTTTCAGTTTGTGACACAGGAGACCAGAAAGAAAGCTGATCGAGTTTTCTCAACAGGAGTCAAATCTTTGATTTTCTGGTTGCTAGTCCAGGTGCTCTACAACTGAGCTACAGGAGACTAACTTGTGTTTGTTGGTTCATTTGTTGCAGATACTATTAAGAAATACAGTAATTTTGTGGGCTTCCCAATTTACTTGGATGGCATGTGTATAAACACAATTCAGGTTGATATCATATAGTTGTATGGCAGCTCTACTGAAATTTGTAGAAAAATATTCTTTCCCTGTGACGTATTTTTTCCTAGAGTGCTTGTTTACTTTTTCTTACTGGCGGTAATTCTCCTTTTTTTCAGCCATTATGGTTATTGGATCCTAAAAGCATAACTCAAGAGGAACATGAGGTCAGTTACGATGTAACATGTTACCATAGAAACATATCAAATTTTCACTTGAACTGAATTTGTTTAAGCCTCTCATTCAAATCCTTTGGCTCTTTACATCAGGTTTTTGATAAGAAGAAACAAGATTTGCCAGGGATTCTAAACCTGATAAGTTTCAAGAGTCACATCTTCTTTCATAGCCTTTATGTCAAGGCCCAGTTGTTCCAAGGCCAATTAGAGCCAACCTGGGGTTAAATCTTAATCTGGGTTTCGTTTTCTTTTGTTCGAGAGAATGTTCTCCAATAATTTTCTCTATTCCATTTAGAGCATCCTTAAATCAAATTATAGACAAATAGCATTGAACTGAATTTGCTTTTTAAGCTTTCATAACTGAATTCAAATTTCACACTTATCTGGGTTGAACAACCCGGCCCTGTACCATGGCCACTGAACACAAAATACGGGTAATATTGAAAGAAGAAGGCAAAATACAACAGTTGAACACAACAACTTTACTAGTTTACACAAGGGGAAAGATAAACGTTTGCTTTTATGACTTTGATCTGTCTTTCATTCCATTTTTTTCAATAGGAATTTTATCAGTTCATTGGCAAGACATATGACAAGCCAAGATACATTCTACACTACAAGACAGATGCACCTTTGAATATTCGCAGTATATTTTACATCCCAGATACTCTTCCACAGTTGTTTACAGTGCAACACATGGAACATGGCGTGTCTCTTTACAGCAGGAAAGTTCTAATCCAATCCAAAGCTCACAAGGTTCTGCCAAACTGGCTTCGTTTTGTAAAAGGAGTTGTGGACAGTGAAGATATCCCACTAAATCTAAGTCGAGAGCTGCTTCAAGATAGTGCTCTAATCAAGAAACTTAGTGACGTACTGTCAGCAAGAATTATCAAATTTTTGCTGGAGCAACAAAAGAAGGATAGAGTTAAATATGAAAAGTTTTTTAAAGATTGTGGAATTTTCTTCCGTGAAGGGATTGTTAGTGCTGAAAGTGATGAGCAGAAACAGGATATAGCAAAGCTTCTTCTGTTTGAATCATCGAACGAGAAGTCTGGTGTGCTTACGTCACTACCATCATATGTATCAAGAATGAAACCCGCACAGAAGAATATCTATTATTTGTGTGCTCCAAGGTATAACTCTCTTTCTTGTGAGTTCATTACCACGTCTCTATTTTTGGAGTTATTGCACAGTACTGTACTTCAAAAACATCCAGGGCCGAATATAAAGCGTTTTCACTCATGTGACCATAACCAAATTTATTGCGATAAAAGAAAGCAGTTAGGTAAAAAAGAGTTCAATTCCCACACTACTAACCTGTGTACAGACCCCCCTCCCCTCAGTAAAAGTCGGAGAATCCGAGTTTTACTGAGGGGAGGGGGGTCTGTACACAGGGTACACAGTACCGGTTTGGGACACCAGCATAAAGGCGCTGCATATTGTTTTGGTACACCGACATGTGAAAGGTTCTATTGTACAACTTACAAAAGTCAATGGTTTTGGGAAGTGAGTTAGATTTTATACCTAAGTGGTGAGACTGTAAGATATACGCCAGGATAACTTAGTACGTTTTTCTAATCGGGGGATGTCCTTTGTTAGAGCTTCTCATTGCTCTCCCCAACATTCCACACCTCGTTTTTGACTCGTAAAATTTTGAAACATATTGGCCAGCGCCTTGCACTAAATATTTTAGGGCTAAATCGGTCAATCATTTTTTCTCCCTCCCTCTTTCAGTCGCGAAGTGGCAGAAACATCTCCTTACTACGAAGCTTTGAAGAAAGATGATGTAGAGGTTGGTTTGAATATGAGTCGATACAATATTACAATAATTATTACAATTACTTATTTTTGCCGAGATCTGCGTATGCAAGATTTGTGTTTTGCTTACATTGTAAGGCCTCTAAGCAATACATTGTTTATTGTTACTCTAGGTTTTGTTCACGTATAATGAACAAGATGACGTAACACTGCATTATTTAAAGACTTTTGACAAGAAGAATATCATGGCTGCAGAGAATTACTTCTCAGTTGACAGAGAATCTTCACCCACTGAACCAACGGACGATACCACTCAAACACAAGACGCATCAGGTGTGTATCATGTCTTGTAAAAGAAATAGACTTATAACCGTTTTTCTGTCGGGTTTTAAATAGGTCACATTTGTATTATGAGAACTGATTTCATTCCTCAACAGAATCTCTGACGGAGGAACAAGCTACGGAATTGGCCAACTGGATCAGTATTATACTGGGGAAACAGAAAGTCTCAGCTGTTAAGGTTAGTGTTGATATGATTAAGGATGTATGTAGCAGGGTGAAACCATGGGAACACCCGGGTGGGAACATGAAGCCTTACCATCCCATGGTCATTATCACTAATGTGAAGGAACTTTGTGTAGTAAAAGAGAGCATTAAAAACTGTTCTTTCTTACATGTGTTGGAAAACAACAGAATTAACAACAAAATTAACCGAAGCAATCGGGATTTGAAGCGAATCCGCAACACCAAGAAATAAATAAGTATTCGAAGGTTTTTAAAGTCAGTTGCAAAGCTCAAAAAGGCAGAAATATTGCAAGCAAAGAGAATTCTTAGAACACAGATGAATACGACTATAACATGAGCGCTCATTGTCAACATTTTGATTTGATATGTTAGGTTTCCAAGCACTTAAGTCAGACAAGCCACCCAGTGATGGTGACTGTACCAGACATGGTGGCCGCTAAACACTGGCTTAAAGTCATGAGAGCTGAGCAGTTCCAGGACATTGACAATGCAAAGTATCAGATATTTCAACCTACGCTGGAAATAAACCCAAGGTATTTTCATCAGCTTTGATTTATCTTGGGTAGTTGGTAGAGCTTTTTTTAATCAAGTACAATGAAGTGATTGTCGTTTTTTGCATGTCTTGCTACCCGGCTGCTTTAGTTTATGCTTTTTCACTGAGTAGCGTCTTCATCTTGTCCGGTTGGATACTGTACTGTACGTTTAAACGTGCAGAAGAAATTCAGCTTTCATATTCTTACGTTTAATAGGTGACAAAATTATTTGTGTTTTTTAGTTGCTGCAGAGGAGGAACCACTGTCCTTAGGACAAATCGTTGATGTCGTGTTTCAATAATTATTGTTCATTTAGCGGCTTCTTTCCAGTCACTTAGCGACATTACGACTTTAAAAAGATTAAATGGAGATCTCTCTGTCTAAGTAGCACATAAGCTTAGTAAGGACCAAACAACAATGTGGTGATGTTTTCTATTTCAGCCATGAATTAATCAGAAATTTAGAAGAGGTTCGGTCAGTCAATACAGATTTAGCTGTGCTGGTTGTTAATCAGGTCAGTCTTACAGTATTAATGGTAATACGCGCTCTTTTGATTAGGGTGACTTCGGAGTTTGATTACAAATTGCTCGTGAAAAGCTCCATGTTGTTGTAAAAGCTACTGTCCCTTAACCTTTTCCTCAAAGAAAGCCAAAAGAACTAAACTCAGGGAATGTGAGACGGCGGGTTAGGTCCAGTCTCGTGGCAGCAGGTTCGGTACACCCTCTCTGTGTGTGCTTTACGCTTGGCTCGCAGAGGAGGAACCTTTCGAGGTCTTATTATTGCTGGCGGTCCGAGCACCCGCCTTTTGTCAGGGCACGTGAAGTGGAAATGGCTTGCCGCACATGATTTCTCGATCCAACTTGATTTTTGTTTGTGTGTTTGTTTTTTTTTTTTCGCCAAGCAATAGAGATAGATCATGTATAACTATTTCTAAACAATGTGTTTTGCACAACATGATATTTGGCAAGTGAACAAGTAAGCAACCTTACTTTTCCGTAGGGCTTAGGCACTATGGTTTTATCTTTCAAAGTGATTAAAATTGCATATGACGACTAATTTTTTTTTGCAGCTCTTTGATAATGCCATGATGTCTGCAGGACTGCTGTATGACCCGCGTAGCATGGTGGGAAGACTGAATACGCTTTTAACTAAAGCCCTGGACTCTTCGAAACGTTAGCACGGGGAAGCACTGGGACACAATTTCTATGAGTAACGGGTCCTGAAAAGCGTTTGCCAAAACGTAGACGCTATCTTGCTGTTTGGATGTAACACAGATCAAATAATTGTAGTCGGCCCTTGTCATCCAGCCATGGTAATATTCATTATACTGAAAATAGGTATCTTCACTCATTCTTGTCTCTTCATGACCGCTCAGCAAAATCGCGTGCGTTGATCTGTAGAAAAACAAATATTGCAACAACAAGAACAATATCTTTTATTTAAACACGGTGGGTTTTAAACGGCTAATATAGCATATGGGGCCGGGTAAAAAATGTTAAGAAAATAAAATAATAAAAATTATTAAAATTGAATGTAGTCAATAAAAGGTGAAATATGTACAATAAAAGATATGAATAGAATTAATAAAAGACGAAATCACTGTCAATTTGGAGACGACCCATTTGCGGTGACTCTTCATTAAAGTTCAAGTTTCTGAGGGCGTGAGACTTTTTTGCCCTTTTGGCATAGTCCCTGGCGCTGACAGCGGATGGTTCTAAGAGATTCCAAACAATGGATCCTCTGTAAGAAATAGAGTTTTTCATATAATAAGTTTCAAAACGTTGTACGCTAACACGATGTTGATGTCGGAGATCATACTTAGAGTCTTTCCTTTGGATTATATGTTCCAAGCATGATGGAGTTATGCGGTTGTATATATTATAATAGTCCATGGGCCAAGTGGTTTTTCATTACCACTCGGGGGGACAAAGGCTACCATATATCAAATTAAAGCTTATCATGTGTAGATTTCAAAAATATATGATGGAAATGTTGTAAGAGTAGCTTAAGGGAG